CCAACATTAATTGAACACATTAAGCAACAATCAAATATCACAACAAATACCTAAAGCTATGTCTAGTTTAGGTCAATTGTGTTTATCTTACGAGTTCTGGGTTCATAATTCACCTGTCAGTTCTTCTTATGAACCCTAATATTAGAATTATGCAATGGCCAGTCACACAATTCACAATTAAAATACATAAAATAAATATAATCAAGTTCAATTAGCTAATTGAAATAAAAAGAATCAACACATTAAGAATAGTCAATTAATCTAATTTAGGCTAATCCAAATCCCTAATTAAAGTTCTAGCCAATAATCATAATTAAATGCATAAACAATTCAAGGAATATTATTCTGAAAATTTAAACAAGAAATAAAGTAGAGAAGGAAAATAATTCAAACCTAAGAGATGATAATTGTGATTGAAGCTCAAAAATCTCTTGTTGAAGCTGCAATCGAATCTCTTCTCTCTTTTTTCCTGTTCCGTTTCGTCTCTGCCGTCTCCCAAAAGATCTATCACCAAATCCCTAAACCCTTATGACCTTATCTCTTTAATTTCCTCTACTGCCGTGAAAGAAAGCAAAACCACCCTTTAACCTAATTAGCCTTTTTTTCCTTTACTGCTGCGCAAATCCTTCAAGAAAAAAACAAAACAAAACAAAGTTAAAAATAAAATAATTATAAACTAATGACATAATAACTCAATTAAACTTAAATATTAAAACACTTATTAAAAATAGAATGAATAAAACTAACAAATAAATTTAGTAATATAGATAAAATAAAACTCTTCTCTATATATTAATAAAAATGTAACATTAGCCTAATATTTATTAAAACTCATCTAAACTAGTAACATATAACCAAATATAATATTTATAATATAATTAACCCTAAAACATAATTTATTAAAGAAAATCACTTACTAAAATTACTCTAAATAATGTCTAGAAATTAAGCTTATCAAACTTCCCCACACTCAAGGTTTTGCTTGTCCCCAAGCCAACTTATGCAATGAAATCAAACTACCAACCATAACCATGTCAACTAGGCATTCAATTCAAGGAGATGGTAAACACATAATACTTCATGAGAGTTCAAAGTCATATGCACACAAGACAATAGAGAATAGTAGTCCTCACGGTTGTTCACTCAATCTCTCATAAATATATGTATAAGAAAGGTACACACCATCCTCTATTGAGAGTGAACTTGCCATATGCTTGCTTGTCCACCAAAACTCCACTACCAAAATTATATGAAAAACACGAGTCAAAAGGTCTTTATTTCTGGGTTGTAACGGGGCCAAGGGTATGTGGTTTAAGAAATAAAGGATATAAGGAAATACAAATAAAGTCCAAGGAATCAGTAGAGCCATAATTTCAGCATACCAAGAGCAAGAACTTGTATTCTACCAATAAAACGAACTCTACCAAAACAAGCAATCACTACTTCATTCTCCTTCATCCTTTTCACTGATAAACTCTCAAAACAACTTCCAAAACCTTCATATCTTTTTCAATTTTTTTTTTCTTCTCTGTTTTATTCATTTTTTTCTCTTTTTTTTTTTTTCCTTTATGGTAAAACCAAATAGATAGCTCATCATTTCCCCATCACCCTCAATAATACTCTTCCCATAATCATCAAATTTCTATCATGCCTTCATTGCTCATAAATCATTTTAAGAATAAAATGAGCACAAAAGTTTGGGCTATCAAGATTTTCAACCCACAATTTAGAACATATCTTTTTGTTCTTTTTTTTTTTTTTCTTCCCCTTTGATCACAACAATTCCTCACCCAAAGGAAACCAATTCTAGAATCACCTTTCAACTCCAATCTCACTCATACTTCATTGCTTTTTTTCATCTTGCACAGATAAATGAAATAATGACATCCACTGACCCAAGGACGGGTTAAGAGACTTCTTTTTATGAGCTAAGGTTCTTTGGGATTGGCTAATGAAGAAAAATGTCTTATATTTATTTTAAAGCTCAAAAAAGGTTCACTAGGGGAAATATAACATGTATAAGGATGTGGTTATTTTTAAGGCCATAAGGCTAAATCCTAATCCTTAAATCATTCTCGTGTCATCACATAACATGTAGTTCTGAAATGGTATAAAGCAAGTTCTAGATGTAGCACAATCAAAGAAGGCAAATAAACACTCAAAAGGAAAATAAGTTGTAGTGGGCAACCTCTAGGCTCAAAAGCTCACGGTGTGACAGAATTTGACTACCAACCCTATGCAAACATACATATAACCAAACACATTCATTGATATTATGCACTCCCAAAACACTAGAATCTATCTCCCAATCAACATAGTCATTAGATGGCATTTTTTCTACTTTATTTTGCTAAGAAATTGCAGAAAAATGAAAGAAATGATGTAGAAAATCCCAGGAAAAATGCAGAAAATTAGTGCAAGAAATGCAGAAAAATGCAGATATTTTTTTTTTTTTTTTGATATTTTGTCTATTTTGCATAGAACTTGCAGAAAACACCTCTTAAACTTTCTCTCCCTTCCCCACACTCAAACTCAACATTGTCCTCAATGTTATATAAGAAAGCAGGTATGAGAAAATGAAATAAACAGGAAACTTCCCTGTTAGTTGCCAGTTTCTTCCGGGACTGCCTTTTGGTGAAGCAACCATGAATGGTCTCTTTCTTGTAATCTCTATGGCCTCATAGGAACGAACTTTAGTGACCATGAAATGACCAAACCATCTAGACTTCAATTTCCCTATAAAAAGCTTAAGACAAGAATTAAACAACAAAACTTCTTGCCCTACTTTGAATTCTCTCAAAAAATTATTTTTGTCATGCCAAGCTTTAGTCAATGTTCTCCATAGTCCCTCTTCTTTTGCATTAAGTAAATGAGCATAAGAAAGCATAAGAAAAGGATCATTGTCACTCAAAAAATTGTATTTGAACTGCAATGGAAGTGGTTTAAGTTCAAGTTGAGGAGGTGTTTCATTAAAAGGGAGTGGAAAAGAGTTTCCCCTACCTAAATCTTCATACTTCCTATTGAGGTGTGTAGGAAAATGACCTTGACCCTCTAATCTTATCATAGACTCAACAAATTCTGGTACTTCCTTTTCTATTGAACATGCTTCCAATGGATCAATAGGTGCATGCTTAACAAATACCTCTTCTGAAGGTTTCTCAATAACATCAACAAAAAGACAGGATTCATCAAAAATTGGTAATTTTACAGCTTTAGAGATAAAGAATTCTTCTTTTTCTGTACCTACTCTAAAAATCAATTTTCCTAAAGGCATATCTATTATTACTCCCCCTGTTAACAAAAATGGTCTACCAAGTATAAGAGATGTATCTGTATCACTACCCATATCAAGAATCAGAAAATCAGCTGGAAAATAAAATTTACCAACTTTTACCAATATATCCTCCACTACTCCAAGCGGGTACTTGACTGATCTATCAGCAAGTTGAAGAGAGATTGTTGATGGCTTCATTTCAGCTATTTCCAACTTATTGAAAAGCGTTAAAGGGATAAGGTTAATATTGGCACCTAGATCACATAAGCATTTATCAATGACAGTATTACCAATAGTGCAAGGAATAGAAAAACTTCCTGGATCCATTAGCTTAGGAGGTAATTTGCTTTGCAGAATAGCACTACACTCCTCATTTAAATGCACAGTAGCAAACTCTTCTAGTTTCTTTTTATTAGACACTATTTCCTTAATGTACTTGGCATAAGATGGCATATTAGCAATTGCTTCTGCAAAAGGAATATTAATTTGCAATTTTTTAAAAATCTCTAAAAATCTTTTAAAGTTATTGTCCTGGTTCCTCTTTTGTAACCTTTGTGGATATGGAATGGGGGGATACATAAGGTTTTACTGTAGAGGAAATGAGGTTTTGATCACTAGAATTCTCTTTAGGCACTTGTTCTTCTTCTTTATCACTCTCTTTTTCAACCCTTGTGGGTTCTTTTTCTTTCAAAACTTCATTCAAAATCTTACCACTTCTCAAGGTGACAGCCATAGCTCCTTCCCTAGGGTTTATTTCAGTGGTACTAGGAAACTTACCTCGATCTTTTTCTGCAACCAATTTAGCCAACTGACCTACTTGCACCTCTAAATTATGAATTGATGCTTGGTTAGACTGAGCAACCTTATCAATCTTTGCATCCATTTTCTTCATCATCGTGTCCTGGCTAGCCATGTATTGCATGAACATCTCTTCCAATTGAGGCTTCTTCTCCTGAGCAGGAAGTTGAGACTGTTGTGGTGCAGGTGGCTGCTGGAAAGGTCTGTATTGCTGATGCTAGAATCCTGATGGTCCTTGTTGCTGAAATCCAGGTGGTCCCATTGCTCTTGCATTACCTTGATCTCTCCAAAAGAAGTTAGGATGGTTTCGCCAACCTGGATTATAGGTATGGAAAAATGGATCACTCCTTGGTTGTTGCCTACCCATATTGGATCCCATGTAATTGGCTTTTTCATAATATGGTTGCGATGACTCTGCATTCATACAAATAGAAGAGTTATGACCATATGCATTTTAATAAATACAAAATTCTCTATTCGAACTATCACGAGTCATCAACAAGTTCATCTGTTTAGTCAATTCAGCCACTTGTGTTGTCAACTCAGATTGTGTGCTAATTTCATGCACAGCAGCTCTTCGACCTCTCACTGCCTTTTGTCAAGAATTACTAGCTAAGTTCTCATAGATAGCTTCTAATTCATCACTATTTTTATCACATGTGTATCCACCTGCAGCAGTATCTACAAGAGACTGACAATTAGGAGTTAAACCATCATAAAAAAATTGTGTCAACAATAACAATGGAAATTGATGGTGTGGACATTGTGTCAAAAGCAATTTAAAACGATCCCATGCCTCATGAAATAACTCCCCCTCTCTTTGAGTTAAAGTGCATATCCTACTCCTATAGTCCATTGTCTTTTGAGATGAATAATATTTAAACATGAAAGCATTGTAAACATCATCCCAGGTTCTTAAAGTACCCTCTGGTAAATTTAACAACCACTGCCTAGCATCACCCCTCATACAATATGGAAAACATTTCATTCTAAGTTCTTCTTCAGATAAATTATTTAAAGGTAAAGTTTGTACCGTACTATAGAGCTCACGCATGAAACCCAAAGCATCTTCACTTCCCAAACTGTTAAAGGTAGAGAGCATATTTAGATGGAAACTCTTGAGTTCACAATTCCTAGCTGCATCAGATAATTGAATACAGGAGGGATTAACAGCTATTACTGGTATTTGGATGTCTCGAAGACGTGGTTGAGCAACTTGATTGTGAGGAGGTGGAACTATTGGTGGTACGGGGTCATCCTGTTGACCCACTCTATTGTTTTCAGCCATTTCAAGCCGCCTTCGTACCCTGTTTTTTCTGCAACTACGCTCAATTTCAAGATCAATAGGAAATAATTCAGCGCTTTTATGCCTTAGTGAATGCCTTAAGTTCATAAACAAAACAAAATAAAACAGAAAACAAAAAGTAAATAAAAATAAAAATAAAATAATAACGAACCTAACAACAAAAATAAATTTGAAAAGAAAAACTTAAAGAAAAAAATTTAATAAAGTGTTCCCCGGCAACGGCGCCAAAAACTTGATTGCTATAATCTGCAAGCGCACAGAGTCAATCACAGTATAAATTCCTGGAGTATTTCAGGGTCGATCCCACGAAGAACACTATTAACAGTTATCTTGAATAATCAAATTGTTGATAAGGGGAAGTGCAAATAAATAGAATTAATGTAATTAAAAAGAATATTTTAATGAATTCAAAACAAAGGAAATTCCAATTGAGAGAAGACTAGGGATTTGGGTTCACCTATTAGATAATTAGCAAACTCTCCTAAATATTAATTCTTGTAATTATAGTGATGATTGTTCCAATTATATCCTAATACTCCGTCGAGCTACTAGGTTGTATCCAATTAACTGTGATCATCCGTTGATATCTCACCAACATTAATTGAACCCATTAAGCAACAATCAAATATCACCACAAATACCTAAAGCTATGTCTAGTTTAGGTCAATTGTGTTTATCTTACGAGTTCTAGGTTCATAATTCACCTGTCAGTTCTTCTTATGAACCCTAATATTAGAAATATGCAATGGCCAGTCACACAATTCACAATTAAAATACATAAAATAAATATAATCAAGCTCAATTAGCTAATTGAAATTAAAAGAATCAACACATGAAGAATAGTTAATTAATCTAATTTAGGCTAATCCAAATCCCTAATTAAAGTTCTAGCCAATAATCATAATTAAATGCATAAACAATTCAAGGAATATTATTCTGAAAAAATTTAAACAAGGAATAAAGTAGAAAAGGAAAGTAATTCAAGCCTAAGAGAGGATAGCTGTGATTGAAGCTCAGAAATCTCTTGTTGAAGCTGCAATCGAATCTCTTCTCTCTTTTTTCCTGTTCCGTTTCGTCGCTGCCGTCTCCCAAAAGATCTATAACTAAATCCCTAAACCCTTATGACCTTATCTCCTTAATTTCCTCTACTGCCGTTAAAGAAAGCAAAACCACCCTTTAACCTAATTAACCTTTTTTCCTTTACTGCTGCGCAAATCCTTCAAGAAAAAACAAAACAAAGTTAAAAATAAAATAATTATAAACTAATGATATAATAACTCAATTAAACTTAAATATTAAAACACTTATTAAAAATAGAATGAATAAAACTAACAAATAAATTTAGTAATATAGATAAAATAAAACTCTTCTTTATATATTAATAAAAATGTAACTCTTCTTTTATATATATATATATATATATATATATATATATATATATATATATATATATATATACACGTATATATATACATATTGACAGGATAATAGGGCTGGCACCCGACCCGGATTACAAATGGGCATTGACTCAGCATCACATGGGAACCCAACGGGCAGAACTCCAACGGTTAGGAATTCCAACAGCTGTCACCTTTATTGTCTTTGAAGCCACCATTGATGCCACCTTTGATGAGAGAGAGTTAAAGCCTCAACGCCTCATTCATGACTCTTCATATTCTTGCCATTAGCTCAGCTCCCCAATGATGACTCTTCATGTTGTTACCGTTAGGACCTAGCATAAATAGAACTTCCCTCAGCTGAGCAGGGGACACACTGTACTTTCTATACTGAGACAAAAGGCAATACAACTATTGTTACTCTCTTATAGCATTATTATATTATTATTACCGGTAACGTTATTACCGTCATTGGTGCTTTCATTGAGAGCCTGAGTCCAATACTCAAGCAGGCTACAACACTACTCTTTTTCTCTTTCAACAGCAAGCCTGAAAGAATGGCGTCCCGCAGCTCCCACGGTTCTCGCAACGTGAACAATGGCAATGCCTCAGGTGACCTCCGGGACTAACTCACCAAGAATCGCGGAGGGGACCTCCGAGAACAGCTCGACAACGGGAGGCCAGGGGACCTTCGAGACCAACTCAACAATGGGGGGGGTGAACCAAGCCGTGAACCTCCAGGCGACCGCCGATATCATTCAGCAAGCAGTGACGGCGGCGCTAAATCAGGTGGCGGTGGGACTGCAAGGCCAAGTGCCCACGCCGCGGCCCCAGCAAATAGGGGTAGAGGCCCAAAGAAGTGGACCGGCCAGACGACAACCAGGCCCTTCCCAATCTACGCCAGAACGATTGGGACAGAGGGCGCCCGTGCGGCAAAGATTAGGATCACGGGCCGAGGGGTCCTCTACCAGAGGCCCTCGCCAACACGAGAACAGACAAGCCGAGAGATCACCCACAGAGGAGGTGGGCGAGTCTCGGGAGCCGACCCCACGCCGACACGTTGATGAGTCGGCCCTACGTCGACACTTGGAGGAGCGACGCGTCGATGAGCCGGCTCTGCGTCGGCACTCGGCGGAGAAGCGACGCGCTGATGAGCGGGTCCCACACCGACACTTGGATGGACGGAACGTCGAGGAACCCGCTCCGCGTCGACACTCAGATAGACAGCACGTCGATGAACTAGCTCCACGCCGACACATGGAGGAGCGGTAGCCGGTCCCGCGTCGGCACCCTGACGAGTTGGCCCTGGTCGAGAGGCTGCGGAGAAGAATCGAGGAGTTAGCAAGAAGGGTGGAGGCACGGGAGCAGTCGCCGGAACCTGAGGTACGGATGGCAGCACCATTCTCACCTAGCATCATGGACGTACCTTTGCCGAGGGACTTTAGGTTGCCCGCCATCAAGGAGTACACGGGGGCCACTGACCCACGTGTCCACATGACGAGGTACAAGGCTGCTATGGTAATGATCGGGGCAGGGGACGCCATCATGTGCCGAGCGTTCTTGTCCACACTGGATGGAGCGGCCCAAGACTGGTTCAACACCATCCCAGATGGGTCGATCCAAAACTTTGGGGAGTTATCCAAGAGCTTCCTAACATACTTCTCCGGTAGCATACATCGCAAGAAACCCTTCTCTCACCTCTGTGTAGTGAAGCAAGATAGAGGCGAGAGCCTCAAAGACTTCCTGATCAAATGGAAAAAGGAAGTCAATAATGTCTACGACTTCGACTCCAAGGCGGCGATCCCGATATTTATCCATGCCTTAAGATCAGGGTATTTCCACAAGCAGCTGAACGCTCACCACCCCCGCTCTTACGAAGATCTGATGAGGACGGCTAGCCGCTATGCCGAAGCAGAGGACGTCGACAGGAAGAAGAAGGACGAAGAGGATGG